TCTTGAGGGTTTACTTCACTGTTAATGTTGGACAGGTTCTGTTTCGTTGGGTTTTTATTAACTAGTTCTTTTTGCGTGATGTGTTAACATTTAACTTTGAGTTGAAGAGATTGAAAGAATGCAGAGAGTGGGCGCCAGATGTTTGCATGTGACCTGTTCCTTTTCTTCCTTTTCTCCCTGGACTTGATGGCTGCTGTTTCTGGGGCACTTCTGCCCGTGGGCATTTCCAGCACTGAACTCATGGGCCCCTACATTTCAGGGGAGGGTCAGCACCAGACCACAGCTGATTTTTGTGAGATGCTGCATGTAGTTTAAATCCCCAGGGGCCTCAGACCTGAGAGGGGGGCGTGACAGTAACAGACCCAGGTGGGCACCAGTCTACAGTTCATGGGGCGGCTGCCCTGGACATTGGCACGTTGACTCCACCAGGGCTCTGGGGAGGCAGGCAGGAAGGTAAATGGTGAGTAGGGACCACAGGCCTACGGTTTGTCTACCAGCCTGAGGTCGTCAAATCTGCCCCCCTGTGATGCAGCTAGCTGGCAGTCAGGACACCCAGGTCCCTCTCCTGCAACCCCAGAGAGGGGCACCCAGGACGGTTGTGCTGTCGCAGTAACCGTAGAGAGCAGAGCCGGGAGCCTGCCCCGCGGCCCTCACTGTCCCCAGCTGCCGCTCCTGCTGCAAGCAGGCCCCTGGTGGTGGCGGCAGAGCAAGCCCTGCTCTTGCAGAGAGATGCTCTGGGGCCTGGGCCTCAGTGCCCCATGTCCTCGGCATGCTGGAGGGGCTGGAGGCCTCCTTCCGAGCGGCACAGCACAGCAAACGAGACGCCGCTGAATAAGAGCCGAGTAACAGAGCAGCCAGGGGTCCGTGTGCAGGGAACCAGAAATGGAAGCAGCCTCTTACTCCAGGGCCGTCACTAAGTGCGGAAATGTGGGCTTCAAGTCATCACAGCGTGAGCCCGTTCTTCCTGCAGGAGGGGCCTCCCTTCCTCCTGCCTGCCCACTCCCCACCTCCTGGCGCCCAGTTTGCCCCTCCTGGGAACTCAGCACGCTCAGAACCATCGTGCGGTTCCTCTGCCCCGGGGATCGCACAGGTCAGACGAGGCTGCGGTTCCTGCTGGTCTCCTGAGAGCGCCAGCAGACGGGCGTCCAGGTGACAGTGGGGCCTGAAGGGGCCTGGGACAGAGCTCAGGGAGGCGGGCTGGGGAGGTGGGGCCAGGTAAGCCCACCGTGGGTGCTGTTTAGGGAGCCCTGGGCATCCAGGGGGAGGCTTCAAATGGAAGGGCCTCAGGCTCGGGAGGTGGTGGGAATGGGGAGACTGCGAGAGAGCCCAGGCCTCCTGAAGAGGCTGGACAAAGGCCTGCCCTTAGGAGAGCCAGCAGAGGAGATGGAGAGCCCACAGAGCGGGACGAGGAAACTTCCAGAGAGTTAGAAAGTCTTCTTGCCCTGGGCCCTGGTGCTGTCTTTTTACTGTTGAGTAGCTTCCCTGGCTAGATTTCAAACCCATGGAGGACGGGCCGGGTGTCCTCAGCATCTCCCAAGGGGCCTAGCAGAAACTGGATAGCTGATCCCAGTAGCTGCCAGGTATTCATGAGGGCAGCATGCTGGCCGTTCTCCTTGTCCCACCTGGGTAAGCCTTTGCAGAGGTTCTCAGCCGTTCATCCGGGCCGTCCCCGAAGGGATCATCGTGATGACCGTTTTAACCTCAAAGGCGCGGTGGTCCTGTCCCCATACCATGTGGGTGATGGCAGGCTGCGCTGTCCCGTGCAGTGTGCAGACTGACCTCCGCCGCCAGGAGTGCCGACTGCCCCGCAGGAGCACCTGCAGGCCCGGCCTCCTTACTGTGGGGTGGGTGTGTCTGAGCTGAGGCCTTGTCCCTGGTAGGTGCAGCCCTATGAAGATCCGCAGTGGAATGTTCCGGCAGAGGGCCCAGCTTGAAGCATGCTTGTTCCCGTTGGTCTGGCTGCGCTGACAGGAGTCAGCAGGAAGGGCCAGAGCAGCAGTCCAGGTCTCCTGTCGGCCTCCCTGGGCTCTGTGCTCTGTGGGGTGGGCACGGTGACCCAGAGCCTGGGGCCACAGAACACAGGGTCAGTTCTCATTCCCGGCCTGAAGCCGAGGCCCCTGCCTGCCTCACTGCGGCTTCGGGGTAGGGGCCCGTGGTGACACCGCGGGCACTTGGAGCCTCCCTTCCCAGCAGCATCACTTGGAGTGGCCCCTCACGCGGTGTGTGCATCCTGCTAGCCTTCTCTGTTCTCTGCCCCAGTGGAGGGCGGTGGCCCACTGCAGCCACTGAAGCGGCCGGTGGGCAGCAGCTCACTCGGCTAGCTGTGCAGCTGTGGCTAGCTGTGCCGCCCACCAACCCCCACCCCGTCAGGTGTGGCAGGGAGGTCAGGTGACGCTGTGGCTGTGAGGGCTGAGGAGTGCTTGGAGAAGAGAGGAGGGGAGGGGAGGGCAGGCCACAGAGCCAGCCATGTCACCTGGGTTCTGGCACCACCCAGTTGTAGGTGATAGTTCTCTGGCCCTGGGGGTCAGGGCCTGTGTTAGGGGCCTCCTGTGCCCAGGCCTGGCACTGACTGAGAACCCAGGAGGCCCCTAGGGATGAGCTGCTCAGCGATGCACCTGGGCCCCCGACGGGAAGAGTGGAGCAAGGCAGTTCCAGACATGGGTGGTTTGGCGTAATTAGTCAGTGCGCCTGGAGTGGGGCTGCAAGGAGTGAGTGCTGGTGGGTCCCTGCTGGAGCCACAGAGGGGTCCTGGTGGGGACCAGCTCCAGGACAAGCTCAGACTCAGGCCATTGGGTATCCTTAGCCACCATCCACTCAGGGACTTGTTCCCAAGAATGTGGGTACTCAGGGAAGGTAACTGGTCTGAGATTAAATAGGTTTGGGAAACTGGGCCCAACAGAGCTGATAGTTCCTTTGCTGCAGGACTGCTCAGAGCCTTTAATATGCTGATGTCACAGTGTGGGTGTGGTGTGCAGCCTTCCCCACTTTGCTGCCCACAGAACCTGTTTCCGTGGACCCTGGTGTGAGTGTCCGAGGCACACCCTGGGTCACGCAGATCTCAGCAAACCTACTTTACAGAGAGGAACCCGAGCTCCGTGGAGGATACAGCTTGTCCCAGAGCAGTGAGCCGGGGATGGGTCAGAGCCAGGAGCTGAGCTCACAAGGAATTGGCCTTCTCACCAGCTGTTCCAGCGTGGGACTGGTGTGGCTTTAGGAATCCACCATTAAACTTTAAGAGTCTCAAAGCAGTTTGGGGGGTTTTTTTTTTGGTTTTTGTGTGGGGGTTTTTTTTTGACATTTAGAATGCTTTAATCTTTCCAGTTAACACTATTTGTATCCATAACTGCAACGTTGTAACTTTTAGCATTTCACATAACTAGTCAGTAAGGACTTTTTTTTAAGGGTGGGAGTAAGAACAGAAGGGCAGAGGATACACGAGTGTCAGGTTTCACACGCTGCCAGTGAAAAACTCAGAAATTAAAACTATTTCCTTCTCTGCACGGAAACTGCCACAAACTTGCAGGTTGTCGTAGCCTTCATCCGGGACTCCTGGACTGGGAGTCTGTGAAGGAGAAAACCGTGTCGGGTCCCGAGTCCTCTGGCCGTGCTGCTTCTCGGATCAGCTGACGCAGACACACTTGCTGTTGGACCAGCACTGAAGCGGGGGAGCTGGCGTGGGGTCGGGGATGGCATGAAGTGTCTTTCCAGGACCCAGTGACCTGCCTGCCGAGGGGTTGGGGGGCTAGGGGAGCCCCTGCAGGGTCCACTCGCAGCAGATGAGTGGGGACCGATCCTTCCTGTTGCAGAGGCCCAGGGTCCCTTTAAGAATACTCATGTGGACAGACCTCCCCCCTGAGTAAGGGTCCATGAGAGGTGAAGACGGGGCCTCTGAAGTTATAGCAGTCGTGGATGAAGGACTTGTAGGAGTCTATAGTCTTTATTTTCTACACACACACACACACACACACGGGAACAGATCCTTCCCGCAGACAGCCAGGCTGCCCGGGGACGAGTCCCAGCGCCCTCGCCGGTGTCTCAGTGGACCCTGACAGGGGAGCACCGGCCATCGAGGGAGCTGAGGCACAGAAGTGCTGCCCAGGGGACCCATACCTGCAGCCCTGGGTCCTGTCACTGTGTCATTAGCGAGTCCCTCGGGGTGGGGGGGGAGCGTCTAGTCAGGCATGTTAACCAATTCGTTTTTAAAGCTGCATGTTTAATGGAACTGACTAGAACCTTCACGTGTCATTTCAGCCAGCAGAGGTGGTACTGGCCTGACGCTTGGCGGCCGAGCAGGGAGCAGGACCCGTCAGGACCAGAGGTTCCCCCGGAGGCCTCAGCCCGCGCTGGGGGCCCCCGCGGCCCTCAGTCTGCCAGCTCCTGACCCGCCGCCTCTCGGAGGGAGAAGGGAGACGCTGGCCAGGGCTTCCCCGCGACTTCCCGGGGCAGCCACGGTTGTGTGTCTTTTTTTTTTAATTTCATTTGGAAGTTTACCATAAATCCAATCTCCTGTTCTCTCTAGTAGATGTAGTTTATTTCTTTTCTAGTTATGTAACACAAGGAAAAGATGGTGGTTTTTTCACCAAGCCCCGCGTTCCTGCCTCTGCATCCTCCCACCCTGCCCCACTGACCCAGGTCCCCACGAATGTCCCCAGGGTCCAGGCCAGGAAGGTGGGACATGCTGTGACAGGTGGCGTCATCGAGAGGAAGGGGCACCCAGCCTCCCTCCTGCACCCGTGTGCTCAGGCTGCGGATAGTGGTGGCTCACGCCGTGCCGTAGAGGCTCCATGTATAAAGGCCAGTGGTCTTCGTGCTGCAGGCAGAGGTCCCTTTGAAGTTCTCACGGGAACACGTGTGGGATTTTGACCGTCCCAGACCCTGACTCCATCTCCTGCTCGTCCCCACGTCTCCTGGTCGCCTTTCTCCAGGGCCAGCGTCTCTGGGCTGTACCGTTGGTTCCTCACGCAGCGGGAGGTCAGATGTCCTCTGTTCTCCCTCTGCAGCTGCAGCTTCCTCCTGTGAAACTCTCCGAGCTCCATGCTGACCTGAAGATACAAGAAAGGGATGAGTTCAACTGGAAGAAATTGAAGGTTGAAGGCTTAGATGAAGACGGAGAGAAAGAAGCAAAACTCAGACGCAATCTCAATGGTATCCTTCTTTCCTCTTTCCTGTGAGGGGACGAGGTCACCCAGGCTCCATGGCCCTGGCTTCTCATTCTGACTCATTGGTTTGTGGGCAAGACAGGAGTGGGACCGTCCTGGTGCAGCCTGCCTGGTGGCTCACCTCCCAGGACAGAGCGACTCTCAGCCATGGGCATGGCTGCTGGGCTGTTTTGTGAGGGCTCTGGCAAACCGGAGGGAGCACCAGGCTGGGGACGTTTGGGGTGTTAACACACAAGCAGCTGAAGGCCCTGGAGCTGCTTGGCCCAAGAAAGAGGCTGGGGGCGGCTGCTGCCCACGGTCACCTGGAAGAGGAAGCAGGGGTGTTCCCAGAGTCTGGAAGGTACAGGCGAGCAGGTTTCAGATCTGTTAGGAAAATAGCTTTCTAACAGATTGGAGTATGTTGAGATGGGTGTAGTGAGCTGCTTGTTACGGTTGGTATTCACGAAGACACAGAACAGTTATCTGCCCAGGCGGCCCAGTGTGCAAAAGCCACGTGTTCTCAGGGACCAGAGGTCTTTCAGACCCCCTTCTCTGCCCTCCTCTCACCGTCCAGACGCACTGCCCATGCCTTCTGCTCAGCCGCGTTTCAGGGTGACGCTTCCTAGCTGAGTGGTCTTGCTATCGTCCATGTGGTGAAGAGCAGAGAGTAGAAGGAAGGCAAGACCCCCTCTTGCCTGCTTGCTCCCCCCGCCTGGAGACCCACTGCGCCCTGGCCTGCCACCCGCCATGGCAGGGCATGTGGCGTGGGCCTGCCCTCACCGGTCTGAGCCTGGGCAGCTCCCTGCAGGGCCCAGCCATCGCGGCGATGGGGTGGTCGTGGCTGTGGTTGCTGCACTTAGAGTCTGCCCTGTAGCCGTCCCACCATCTCACGCGCTCGCTGTGCTTTCCGGGTGGCCCGGGGCTGAGAGATGGAGGAGCAGGAGGGGGCACAGAGGTCACCCAGCAGTCATCTCCCAGCCTTCACCCTGAGCTCCCACTGCCAGGCTGTGTCCTCTTGGGAGTGGCTTCCAGCCCGGACAGTGTCTGGGTCCATGTCCCAGGTGGGGCCATCCCTGTTTTCTGCTTGGGTGGCGTTTCTTTGTGGGTGCCAAGGTGACCTGGCAGAAGACTTGGCTGGACCGGGAAGAGCTGAGTGCTGAAGCAGACCATCCTGAGCATTCGATCAGGGAGACCCGCGTTCACCGATTGGCTAGCCATCTTCTGGATGTGGCCTGTGGGCGCCCCCATCCCGTCAGTTCCCCCGCGGGCCGTTACCCAGGCTGGTGCCACAGCTAGGGGTTCCCATAGTGCCGTGACCAGGCCAGAGCTTGGGACATGAAACGGAGGACCCAAGTGTAACCAGGTCTGTCACGGGTACACCAGACGTGCCCCGGCACCTTAGAGAGCAACCCACATCGGATCTGCCTTGTCTAGGCTGACATTGTTAGTGGCGAGCCCACCACACCCAGTTGAGTCCTGAGCAGGTGGATCCTGCTGTCTCTGCTTGCTGCATCACCCCCGGGGTTGCCTCACGCCCCAGGCTGGGCTGCCCTGACCCCTTCCAGCACGGCGCCCTCGCCATTGCACTCCCAGGGAGCGCCAGGGCCCCAGTGTCCTGGCCCACATGCAGAAGGGGCTACGCTTGGTGCTCCGTGGGCCCTCTTCCATTCCAGCTTTAGTATTTGTGACTCCAGTTCATGGCAAACCTAGCACTCCTGGAATCCAGAACCTTCCAGAGTCCAGGCTGCTGAGGCCACCCCACGTCTTGTGTGACTTGCTTTTTGACGGGGTCTAGTGCAGCCTTCTTTGACCTCTGGCTCGGGGCTCTCGGTTTGGACTTGGAAGACCTGGTCTCTGAGAGCCAGGTGACACAGTGGGGCCCGCTCCCCATCGCTCCTCCCCAGGGTCGGGGTCCGTTGGGGCTGTTCCGGGTGTGTCAGCAGTGCAAAGCCTGGGGGTGTGCCAGACCTCTGAGGGGCTGGCCGGGACAGCTGCCGAGTGGGCCTCGGAGGCAAGGCCAGGCACCGGCCTGCTGGGCAGGAGGCACCCGGCAGCCTTTCCTTCTAAACGGTTTTTAAGGTATAAATTAGGTGTGATGAAACACAGATCTCAGTACACGGTTTCATGAGTCTTAACGGGGGTGTGGCCCACCTGGCCAGTGTCCCATCGCCCGGAGCAGCCCTCCATGGGTCAGTAGACGGGCCTTCTGCAGCTCAGGGAGGAGACCCCAGACCGATCTTTAACGTTTAGGAGCACCATGAGCTCTCACAGGCTGGGGCACTGGGAACGCACACTTCACAGGTCCTTCTCGAGACCTCCAATGGTCTAGGCTTCCAGGCAGAGTGAGTTCTCAGCCGCGGGTGGTGTAGGCTGAGACAAGGGAAGTGAAGCCTCCAGGAGCAGCTGAGCACGGGCCCTGGTGCCCCCAGCCGCAGGACCACTCCGCGGGGCTGACATGACCAAGGGCGGACCCCTGGGGCGACGAGTGGGGCGTGGAGGTGGGTGCACGTTGGCTGCAATGCCCCCACTAGGAATGGTTGTGCCCAGCGTGTGTTGGGGTTGAGGTCCAAAGGAAGGGGTGGGGGTCAGGGGTCAGGTGGGCCACTGGGTTGGATGATGAGGACCTCAGGGATGGCAGGGATGGAGTGCAGGGGAAATGGGAGCCCCACGCACAATTTCTAGGGAAGATGGGATTGGGAACTTGCGAGAGGCCTGGAGTGAGGCCCTGGAGGGGTCAGTGGGGCCAGATTCTGCAGTCGGTGAGGACCCTGTCCCTGCAGAGCAGGAGGAAGGGGCAAGCCCACTTCCAACTAAGGAGGTGTGTGGGAGTGGGAGGAAATGCAGGGAGGGCGGGGGCATCCCGGGTGGGCCCCGAGTTCCAGGGTGGACCCAGCAGAGGGCTTGGCCCAAAGAGCCACAGCTGAGAGTGGACTCCTGCCCCGTGCCCAAGAGCGGCTTCCCGGGCCCACCCCAGGTCGTGTTGGTAATGACAGGGTGCTGGGAGACCAGCCGCAGACCCCATGCTGGTGAGGGGGGCTGTGGGGCAGGGCCGTGTCCTGGCTTTACTGAGAAGTAACTCCCAATCACCATCCCCGTGCTGACCGGCCAATAGCAGGCTGGTGGCCTGTTTTTCACTGTTAACTTTTTATTGGAAGCTGCTGATACTGAAGTTTCTCCTTTAGAAAATCATTTCCTCCAAATAAAAATGGGATTTGGGGGGCCGGCCCAGTGGCATAGTGGTTAAGTGCACTCACTCCGCTTCAGCGGCCTGGGGTCTCAGGTTCGGATCCTAGGGGAGGACCGACATACTGCTTATCAAGCCATGCTGTGGCGGCGTCCCATATAAAGTAGAGGAAGATGGGCACGGATGTTAGCCCAGGGCCAGTCTTCCTCAGCAAAAAGAGGAGGATTGGCAACAGATATTAGCTCAAGGCTAATCTTCCTCATGCATACACAAAAAAAATGGGATTTGGGTTGTGGAAAAGCTCCCCCTGGGCCTCCACCCCATCCATTCCACGAACTGCTGTCCTCTCTGTGCTCACTGGAGTTCGCCCCACGACAGAAACCGGGCTGCAGATTTTGGTTTTGGAAATGTATGAAACCAGTCTGTAAAAATGACCCCATTGGTAGAGACTCCTGTCCCAGCCAGACCTGCCCGCATGCCACTGGGCACAGTGTGACCCCCGTGTGACATAGGCCTCAGGCCAGAAGCGTACGTGGTAGGAAAGCACAAAGCAGTGGCGTTTGTTGTGGGGGGAGGGGTGCCCAAGCCACTGGACGCATTGGTGAGAGCAGGAGCCCGGGTCTGTTCACGTCCTGTTCCTGCCAGGTCCTCAGTGGTTGCCAGAAAACCAGAGGGGGCAGAAGGACACTTGTGGGAAGTAAAGCAGTCCTGTGGCCAGCTCAGGGGGCCCGGCCTGTCCCTCAGACAGAGGACCGTCTTGAGTAACCCCTGCTTCTCTCCTAGTCATCCTGGCCAAGTATGGTCTGGACGGGAGGAAGGACACCCGTGCGGTGACCAGCAACTTCCTCAGCGACGGCGCCGAGGACGACAGCCTGGGCGACCCCAGGCTGGAGAAGCTGTGGCACAAGGTACCCGTGGGCACGTGCGCAAACCCCGGAGCTCATGTCCTCGCGTCGGGAGTCAAGGGGGCTGTGATGGGAGCCTCTGCTCTGCGCGGGGGTCTCCCCGAGGCAGCAGTTTCTTCGTGAACCTGGGCGCTGTCTCCCTGTAGCCGTCATCTCTTTCCTGTTGAGCGCACGCACTCTCAGTGAAGGAGTTGTATTTGGTGTATGAGCCCTTAGAGCTTCGACTATCAAGAATGTGTCAACACCCCGTAGGCGTGTGGTGTCACATGGGCCGCGTTGCTCACTTTGTGTCTGTTTAGTTTTGGGGTTGATCCTGTAGACGGTTTCTGTGGTTGGGAAGGTGTGCTCACGATGGGGGGGGGGGGGGGGTGTCTGGGAAGGGTGGGTGGCGCTGGGGCACCCCCGGGCAGCCGTCTGGGCCAGCCGCAGCGAGGCGCCCCCGCCTGCACTCCCCTCCACCCACCGGCTCCTGTCCAGCACGTTCTGCCTGGACCACACTGAGTGGGTCAAGAACTGGAATTCTGGCACCAGCCCGTGTCCTTGGTCCCAAGGGTGGAGCTGGAGCAGGAGGGAGGGGGCAGAGTCTGCTGTGGAGCTGTCGTCCCTAGACCTGCCTTGTCGCATGTCACTGCACAGCTCCAGGGGACAGGTGGGGTGACAGTGAGGCGACTGGCCCCAGGCGCCTCCTGGGAGGGATCGCCGCTCCCCACCCCCAGCTGGCTTTGTGGCCATGTCCCCATCAGCCTCGGAGATGTTCAGGCAGGAGCGGTGACGGTGCTGATTTTCCTGCCACCCCCTGGTAAAGGGTCCTCAAGGCGAGAACAGGGCCCGAGCACTTCACACGGGAGCAAGGGCCTGCCTGACCCGAGGGGATGGCCACCCATGTGACCCCGGGTGGACACAGCCCGCAGGGGGCACCCAGAGTGTGGACAGGTGGACACGGCCCACGCTGTGGTTGCCCCGAGGTGTGGACAGGGGGACACGGCCCATGGTGGGGTTGTCCTGAGGTGTGGACGGGTGGACACGGCCCGTGGCAGAAGTTCACTCAAGGTCATCTTCCTCTTAGGCAAAGACCTCTGGGAAATTCTCCAGCGAAGAACTGGACAAGCTGTGGCGAGAGTTTCAGCACCACAAAGAGAAAGTTCATGAGTACAACGTCCTGCTGGAGACCCTGAGCAGAACTGACGGTGCTCCCTGCCCCCGTGCCCTCCCTGTGCAGCCCTGGCTCCAGAATGCTCCAGGATGTTCTAGAATGGAGCTGCCGGGGGAAGAGAGAGGGAATGGGTGTGAGGGATCCAATGCTTTTTTCTCAAGACTGCCCAGTTTTCCAAGTGGGAATCTCACTGTAGGAACCCATCAGGGTGCTTTTGTCAGTTGCACGAGCGTGTTTGGTCAGAGGAAACATTTCTTTAGTAACGTGGGTCATCTCTGTGGTCACCACTGGCCATCTCTGTCCTCACACAAACGGGTAGTCACTCCCTTTTGACGCCTTCTGACTGGCATGATCTTCTCTGTGATGGCGCCATTGTTTTGGACTCAGGACCCCCCCCCCCCAAATCCGTGGTTTTCCCACCCTCAGAAAGTCAGCAAACTGTAGGAGGTCGTGGAATCCAGAGTCGTCGTCGGGGTTGCTAGGGGAGCTCAGGGTCGTCCTTGCGAGGGGCGGTCCTGAAGCGCATGTGCTGACGTCCACGCCTATAAAAGGACGCGGCGGTGACAGTCCGCGTGGGAACCACAGAGGCTGCTGGGGGGCGATGCTTCCAGCAGGAGCGAGGGAGGTCTTGCCCTCCCGGTGGTGCGGGTTCAGGCAGACTCCGCGGGGGTGCGGCGTAGGGCCATCTCAGGTCCTGGTGTCCTGGGCCAGCCCTCAAGGCAGAGATCCTCACCAGGTGCTTTGCTTCTGTTCCCGCAGAGACTCAGGAGAACGTCATCGGTCCCGCCGACGTCAAGGAGGAGGTGCTGCACAGCAAGCACGCGGAGCTGAAGGACCGGCTGCGGGGCATCAACCAGGGCTTTGACCGCCTGCGCAAAGTCAGCCACCAGGGCTACGGCGCCGAGGCCGGTACGCTCGTGGGCCTGTCCCCACGGGGGTGATTGTCCATCCATCTGTCCCAGTCGCCTCTGTGCCCCAGAACTGTCACGGGGGACAGAAGGGGGGAGCCCCGGGCCAGGCACCCTCCCATCCGTCTCCCCATTCTCAGCAGGCACACCTGGGTTTCTCTCCCTGGTGGTCACACTCAGCTGTACTTGACTCTCATGCCACCCCTGTGACATCCGTCAGTTCTCCCTGGGCCCTGCATCAGTCGGGACAGCTGGTTATGTTGCAGTAACAAACAGTGTCACCCTTTGCTGGCCTATACCAAACTTCCTCTGGCTCGCGCTGCAGGTCCATAGCGGGTGGGCCGGTGTCTCTGCTCTACTCCTCGCTCCAGGCTCCAGCTGTTGGTGCCCTGTGGGGTTTTCAGGAAGTCAGTCAGGTTGTCATTTTACCCAGCTTCTAGCCATCCCGTTCATTCGTCCTCCACCGCGTGGTTACGGAGCACTGACCACGTGGCGGGTGCTACTCTGGCCCCGGGGATGCAGTGGGGACGCGAGGCAGAACGCCTGCCCCTCTCCAGGCCCAGGCAGAGGTTCCCTCGGGGCCCTGGGCAGGAGGTGGGGCAGCTGGTGCAGTGACCACTGGGCAGGCAGCTGTGGCCAGCTTGTTCCCGGTCTCCTCCAGGGATGGAAGGGAGGCGGGTGACCAAGCTCGGCACCCCTTGCTACGTGCACTCGTGAGCACTGGCTGAGGTCAAGGGGTCCCTTCTGTTTGCTTTGCTTGGCCTTGAGCTAGAAGGACGAGCAGTGGCCTGAGCCTCAGCCCAGGACTGGGGGTGGGGGTGGATGGACAAAGCCCTGCCCTGGATGCCCCAAGGTACCCGCAGTCTCCCGATGCCCGCCACCCCTCACCACCACACACACTCTGCTTGTGCTCTCGTCCTCCCCTGCTGCTTCCAGAGGAGAGGGGCACGCTGCGTTAGCTCTGTGCCGTGTGAAAAGCTCGTGCTCACCGAGGAGGGTGAGGGCATCGCCGAGGCCACGTTCCAGCGGGTCCTGTGAACTCTAGAGCGACCGCGAGTGGAAGGATGCTGGGCGTGCTTCCTGAGGACACTGAACACACACGTGCACACACTTCTATCACATACACGCGCTCAGACGCACACGTGCGCACTATGTCCCTGGGGCCAGGTGGGACATGTAGGCCCCGGGGTGTCACAGGGGTGCCGCCACGTGGTCCCTGAGATGGCTTTTGCCCTCCTACCAGAGTTCGAGGAGCCCCGAGTGATCGACTTGTGGGACCTGGCCAGGTCGGCCAACTTTACGGAGAAGGAGCTGGAATCGTTTCGGGTGAGCAAGCGTGACACCATCCTGCCTCAGCAGCATCAGGGGGCAGCATTTCTGATAACGTGGGGAAGGCTCTCGTGCTTCTTGCTTTAGTCGCAGCAGATTAGCGTTCTCACGGGGGCTTTTCCTTGTTGCCCTCTGTCTCGCCGTTGTCTGGTCACGGCCCGTGTGGGACAGAGCTGGCCTCCAGTGAGTGGAGTCTGAAGCCGTGAAGACCCTATGTGGCACCCTGGCAGTGGGCCTGGCGGGCAGGGTCTTTGGTTGTCTGAGCGTCACCTCAGTGTGGGTCCTGTTGTGCCAAAGCCACCACAGGCCAGTGGGTCAGGGATCAGTGAAGGACACGGGCTGTGGGCATGAAGCTGCCGTTTCCTAAGATGGGAGCCCAGCGAGAGGAGAGTCTGCTAGGGGGACCGGGAAGCTCGAGGTGGGGCCTGGAGGCTGAGGGGTGGCAGGGAGGACGGAAGAGGCAACAGCCATGAGTGGCGGAGGGAGCAGGGAGGCCCCTGAGCATTAGTCATCAGCTTGGATGAGAACCAAGACATGGTGTCAGGACACGCAGGGAAGTCAGAGCTTGTCCAGCAAAGGTCCCCGTGCTGGGCCTCTGTCCTGAGCAGGGTGGACAGGCAGCCCCTCTCGGAGCTTAGACCAGTTCAGAGGGACGCATGTCCTGAGCTGTTGTGGACCCTGGCCAGGGCAGTTGGCGCCTCCCTGGAGGCCCCAAGGAGGTGACCGCTGATGGGGACCAGGACTGTGGTGGAATTGGCGGTGGGACGCCTGACCAGGGTGCGTCAGGCGGGCAGGGGCTGACAGAGTGGGGGCGGAGAAGGGAGGACAGTGCGAGGGTGGCCAGAGTCACCCTGTCACCCAGCAGGACCCCATCCCTGCCCCAGACGTGCGGCCTGCCCGTGGTGTTCTCCTGAAGCAGGCGTCACGTTTGACCAGGAACACCAGACGGGCGTTAAGGGCATGTTGGGGAAAATTCAGTTGTTTAAACATTATTCTAGGAGGAGCTGAAGCACTTTGAAGCCAAAATTGAGAAGCATAACCACTACCAGAAGCAGCTGGAGATTTCTCACGAGAAGCTGAAGCACGTGGAGAGCTTTGGCGACCGAGAGCACGTCAGCCGGAACAAGGAGAAGTGCGCCCTGCTGGAGGAGAAGACCAAAGAGCTGGGCTACAAGGTGGGTGTCTGCAGCACCGTGTGCTCGGCACGCCGGCCCGTCTCCACAGGGGAAGCGGGTGACGGCTACATCGGCGCCTGGAGTGCAGCCTCCGGCCTCTGGAAGGGGCCTGCCTCCCCGCCGCCGCGTGTGTGCCCCGCCTCCGCTCCCTGAGCCTCGGTGTCCTCCTCTGCGGCGGGAGGCGGTCGTCCGTGCCCCGTGGAGCTTGGTGGGGGCATCAGACCCACAGCTACCCGCCTGGTCCTGCGGGAGGCCGTGCGGCCCTGAAGGGGGGCTGGCTGGGCCATCCCCTCTGGTGTGGGGCAGGGGCTTCCCAGCTCTTCCTGCCCCCCCCCTCCCCTGGGCCTGTTCAGGGCCAGGACACCGCGCCGCTGCTCACGCTCTTACTGCGTGACTCCCGGGGGTTATGTGTGCGCACAGGTGAGGCCGGTGGGTGGGGCTGAAGCCCGGGCTCCTCCAGCTGCACCACTGGCGTCTTGGCCCCAAGAACGTATGGCCGGTCACTGGGTCTGCCCATCCCTCGCTCTGTACGCGTAGCCTGAGACGGCTTTGGAGTGTCCCGAGTGCACGTATGGGCAGCAGTCTCCCAAGACGTTTGCCTGGTGGGCGTGGAGACCGCATTCATCCCACAGGACGTGGGGACCAGCTCAAGGCAGCAGCGGGTGGCCGAGCGGGTCACCCCGTGTGTGCAGCTCAGCGGGCTCCCGTCTAACCTGGATGGGGATCAGTCCATTATGGGGTGACGTTTGAACCCCAGGTGATACATAGACGTAGGACAGCTGAGACTGAAACGGGTCCCCGCTGAGGGACGCTCCGCATCCGTGGAGTCTGTCTCAGACCCTCGAGGCTGAACACCCGACCCTGCAGGGCCACCAAAGGTGGCGCAGGCCCCAGGCTAGCGACTGCTTCCTGCTCTGTAACGGCCAAGGTGGGGGTGACCGGTGCCCTGTCTCGGCGCTGGGTAGGTCATTTGTGGTGAGCTCACAAATTGGGGCACCTGTGCGGCATCAGAATGTGAAGGGCCCTCTATCCAGAAGAGCTGCGGATGTACAGAAGACCCTGGAAACAGATGGGCCAGGTTGCCTCTGGAGGGAGCGGGGTGGGAGGGAGCCTGTTGCGTGCCTTTTGAATTTGAACTACAGGGGTGATACGTTACCTATTCAAAAGGAAGTAAAACTTAAAAAGTAAGAGGAGGGAAGAGTACCGAGAAGGAGGGGTGTGTATGGATGTGTACCTGCATCTGGCAGGCGTAGCGGGGAGGAGCCAAGTGCCCGTCGCAAGGGAGGGCAAGTCTAAAGTTAGCATCGTGCTGCGAGAAGTCGCAGAGAGGACCTCCTCTGCGACAGATGAAGGTAAAAAGTGAGCAAGTGGTCCTGGCTTCACCTGACCGTGGAGAAAAGATGCCCTGTCAGTGGGAAATGTGTGAGGATTGGGGCGAGGGCAGAGGAATGCCCAGTTGGTTGGAGGGGAGCCCCTGAGAGGAGGCGCTGGAACCGTCCGCATGTTCCTCCCCTGGCAGCAGCCTGCAGGGCTCCATGGGGATCAGGAAAAGCCGCAGGAAGAGGGAGGCCGGGCTGTAGGATGCTGACGAGGCTCCTGCCATCGTCTTGCCGCGAGCGGAAGCCTCGAGGAGCCAGGGAGGCGTCAGCGTCCGAGTCCGAGTCCGCGTCCGCTCACAGCTGTGGAAACGGCAGGGAGATGACAGAGAGACACCCTCTTTGTCAGCGTGATCTGCTCCTGGTTAATTGTTTTTAGTCTTCTGTAGCAGGGGCTTCTGGCTCACGTTGAGCTGCTTTCACGATTTGTTCATGGCAGGTTCTGGACGGGTGGATAATGGAAAGTAAGACAGCAGGGCTCAGAGTTCTCCTTTCCAGATGGCGTATCTCACACCGGGGCAGGTCTCCTCACTGAGTCTGTCCTCTGCTCTGCCCTGCAGGTGAAGAAGCACTTACAGGACCTGTCCGGCCGCATCTCGAGAGCTCGCCACAATGAACTCTGACGGACCGGGGAGCCCGGCGGCGCAGGAAGGGAGGCACCGAGGGCCTGGGTTTTCCTGAAGACGGGCGAGCTGCTTTGGGATGGCTTTCACGTGAACAGAACCTCAGGAGGGCGCGATGGGGACTGGCCATGTGGGCCCTAGCAGGGAAGGGTTGCTTCGGGTGCCACTGTTGGCCTGGCAGAGGATCTGCGCCATCGCACCCCCGCAGCCCTGACTGGCAGGCACCTTGCCCTCGAGCAAAGCCAGTGGTGGCCTCCGGTAAGAACGCTGGTTTCCAGCTGCCCACCGAGTGGCGGTCCTCTATGCTGCAAGGTCACAGTTTGCATCAAAATCTTGCAAATCTGCCACCAGAAATACCGTGTACAGAAGTCTTTAATATATCACAGCGTGTCAGTCGGGAGATCATTGAGCCTCAGTCGTCTCTGTCTCATGTCTGCTCGGCCATGGCGCCTTCAGTCACAGGTGTGGTGAGCACTCTCGTCACTGCCGGCTTGGAGGTCCCTCTTCTGCCCCCATGCATCCCCGTTCTTCTCTGCCGGTGGCCTTTGCGGTCACCTCTCCCCCGGTTTGGAGTTGAAATAATGGGGTTGAAAAGCCAGGGCAGAGAGGGACGGCACTGTGACCTCTGGCCTGAGGCCTGCTGCCAGATCAGTTGGCACATTTCTCCTCCCACCCCTGCATGTTGGGGCGGGAAGAGCCTGACAAGCCTGCAGCACCTCCATGCCAGCAGAAGTGCCCAGTTCTCTCACTGAGGGAGAGCACTGGGGGCCCTTTTCTGACTTCACAGCCAAAGTCTCAGTCAGCCATCTCGCGAGAGTCCCAGGTTTGAGCCTGGAAGAGACTCGACCCAGGCACTGCGTTCCGGTGTCGGCCGCGTCTGGATCTCGGCTCCATGCTGGAGCTGCCAATCACAGATATTCTGTTAGCTGTTGTTATAAGAAAACTCCAGACCCAGGGCCACATGCCAGGACTTTAGGTGTCAGGGCGCCATGGGCCGGGGCAGGCAGCCCGTGTGCAGCCCTGTTTATTCAGGGGTCACTGGGCAAGCGGTGGGCCTTCTGCGGGGCCCTGCACTGCCGTGGGTCCCCGCCACAGGAACCTCACTCTGGGCCTCCTTGTCGTGTCTGCCACTGACCAGCCCGGCTGTTGTGTCGCTCCCGGCCATGGCCAGGCCTCGGGCAGGGCTGGGGTGACTGCAGTCAGGCGCAGTGTCCGGGCCTCGGAGAAGTCTCAGTGACAGGCTCCCAGGGTGCGGTCTGTAGGGCTCAGAGCTCCAGGCCACACGCTCAGTGCTGAGTGCCTCTGTGTGCGGGCACAGCCGGGCCCTCATGGGGTTCACAGTCTGGGGGTGCGAGGCCCAGGATGAGGCTGGGCCCAGCACATGGAGGTGAGCAGAAGAGGACACTTGACTCAGTTTACCACCTGAGGAGCCGACAGCCTGGAGGGAACTCCTGGCCTTGAGACACATCTTTGCTGTGGTTTCTTGTTGCCCCTGGCCCTGGAGGAAGTCGTAAGGAGGAAGCCCCCCAAGCCAGTGGGCCAGTGGCTGCATTGTTTGTTTTTAGCTTCTAAACGATCACTTGGAAGTAAGAGGTGCATTCGTGAAAGTGCACAAAACACGTGTCTGTGGCTCCGTGGGGTACCCCGGGTGAGCACCGTGGACCCACCCCCAGGGCAGAAAGTAGAGGTTCCCAGGATCCTAGGCCCCCCCAGTACTCCTCTTCTATAGCTAACCACTCGCTTGTGTCCCCCCAACATTTGTGTGTTGAAACCTGATCCCCAGTGTGATGGTATTTAAAGGTGATTAGGTCACGAAGGTGGAGCCCTCACAAATAGGATTAGTGCCCTTATAAAAGAGACCCCAGGGAGCTCCCTTGCGCCACATGAGGGCACAGTGAGAAGACGGCCATCTGTGAACCAGGAAGCGGGTCCTCACCAGACACCGAGTCTGCTCACACTTTGGTCGTGGTCGTGGACTTCCAGCCTCCAAAACTATGAGAAATAAATGTCTGTTGTTGATACGCCGCCCAGTCTGTGGTATTTTGTTATAGCGGCCTGAACAGACTAAGAAACACTCTCGACTTTTAATAAGGTTGGGTTTCCCTGTCTGAACCTCAGAGACATGAAATTATAGCATAGTGTAGTGTGTCTGTGGGTGCGCGCACACGCGCGTTGTCTGGCTTCTTTTCTTTTAATGGATATGTTGCTGAGATTCAACCACGTCTGGAGAAGAAATTTGTTCCTTTTTATCGCTATATGGTATTCCATTATATGAATATACCACACTGTTTTAATCCATTCTGCTGCTGATGCATATCTGAGTTGTTTCCAGTTTTGGATAATAACACCAGTTGGAAAGGGCTATGGTGAACAGAACATTCTTGTGTGCGCACGTTTTCTGGCTCCGAGGAGGAATATCGATGGGTCCTGCCATGCACGTTCACTCACACGCAGTCGATGACTCCTGGTGGCTTCCCACAGGCGGTGCCCCCAATCACACTTCCACCAGCAGGACGGTGTGACTGCCAAGACTTGGTATTATCTTTGTCGACATTCTGGCTGGTATTAGTGGGATCTGACTGTGGAGTCGTTTCTGCTGTATTTGAGGTTATTTTCTGTGTGAGAGAGAGAATAGGAGGGAGGGAGTACACACCAAAAGCACGGTCCTCGGTGTGGGTTTGATGAGCTGATGTTTGTAATTCCCTGTGTAGCCACTGCCCCAAACAAGACAGAGCGTTTCCTTCCCTCCAGAAAGCTGTCCTTACCAGGGCCGACCTCTCTGTGGCTTTCCGCACCAGAGCCCACTCTGTCTGTTCTTGTGTTTCACGTAAATGGAGTTAGGCTGTTTTCCTGTGTCTGGTTTCCCTCACCCGGCATCTGCGTTTCGTCCAGCGGGTGGGTGCAGCAGTAGCGGAGCCCTTTTATTGCTGACGAGTGTCCGGTGCACGGATGTCACTTGTTGATGAACGTTTGGATTTCCAGTTCTGGTTGGAGTCAAATTCATTTCTTCCCTATGTCCCAGCACTGTTCGTTATATAGCCTTTTTTCCCTTTGTCAATTGATTTGGCTGGTGCCTTTGTCAAAACTCAAGTGAACACGCGGTGTGGGTCTGTTTCTAGACTCTGTTCTCTTCACTGGTCCGTTTGTCTGTCCTTATGGCAGACAATGGATTATGGCAGCTTTATAGTGATTTGGAAATCAGGTAGTGTGCATTTTCTTCTTCTTTTTAAAGATTCATTCAAGGTCTTTTGCATTTTCATGTATACTTTAGAATCAGCTTCTCAGTTTTTACAGAAAAGCCTACTGGAATTTTGAGAGGAATCCCCTTGAATACATAGGCCACTTTGGGGAGAATCGACATCTTGACAGTGTTGAGTCTTCACACCTCGAATGGTGTCCGTAACTCCGTTTAGGGAGCTCATCCTTCATTTCTCTCAGCAATGGGCTATTTTCTGTGCCCAGGCCTTCCAGGTTCTCTTTAGATTTATTCCTGGGTACTGGATATTTCATGCTATTTTGAATAGTATGTTTGTACTTCGTTTTTCAATTGTTTGTTTCATGTAACGATCTCATGTCCTGTACCCTACATCCGCGTATTAGCTCTGCATACTTGCTTGTGTCATCTGTCGATACGAGTGTTGCCTCTGCTTTCCCATCGCTGTGCCTTCTCTTTCTGCGCTGGCCGGGCCAGCCAGTCCAGTGCTGAGGAGCAGTGGCAGAAGTGGACATCCTTATCTTATTCTTAGTGGAGTCGTGGTCGTTCTTTCACAGTGGAGTGAATGTTAGCTGCAGGGCTGTTAGGGACGCTCCTACAGATGGAGATTCTATCCTGGTTTGCTGAGAGTTGTTCATTAATGAGTGTTGAGTGTTGTCAACTGCTTTTCGTGTATCTGTGGAGGTGATCAGAGGGGTGTGCTTCTTTACTGCGTTGCTGTGGTGAGCACACCAACTGCGTTTCATGTGCTAAAATAGCCTTGCACTCCTGGCTACATCCCACTGGGTCCTGATGACTGTCCCTTCTCTGTGTGACCAGACTAGATTTGCCAGTACTGGGTTAGGGACTTGTATCCCCGTGTGGTGTTCGTCTTCTGTTACAGAAAGTCTCTGTCATCTTTTGGTATCAGCAGTACATTGGCCTCCTAAAACAAGTTGGGACATGTTCCCGTCTCCATTTTCTGCCATGGTTTGTATAGTATTGGCATTGTTTCTTTCTTAAATGTGCAGTAGAATTTATGGGTGAAGCCGTTATAGGCCTGGAATTTTCCTTGTGCTAAGATTTTTGATTGAGAACTCAATTTTTTAAAATAGATAGGAGGCTGCTTAGATTTTCTAATTCTTCTTGTGTCTTTTTTTAAAGATATGTTTGCCCAGGAATGTCATCTGAGTTGTCAGAATAATTGGCAAAAGGTTGTTGGTGACAGCCCCTTGGCTCCGTGATGTCTGTTGGATTTGTGGTGACTTTCCCCTCTGTCAGCCCTGTGCTGGAATTTATGTTTTCTCTTCTCTGATCAGTCCAGCTAAGGGTCCTTGATGTTATAGGTAATTTTCCCTCAGAGTCAGTTTCAGGTCATTGACTTTCCTCTGTCGTCTGTCTGCTTCCTCTTCATTGACTCTGCTCGTCCTCTTTACCGTCCCTTCTATTTATCTGTGTTCAATTTGCTGTCCTTGCTCCAGCTTCTTATGATGGGAGCTTAGATCATTGATTAAACATATAGGGGCCGGCCCGGCGGTGTAGCAGTTAAGTTCACGCACTCCGCTTCGGCGGCCTGGGGTGTGCAGGTTCAGATCCCGGGCGCGGACCTACACACCACTCAGCAGCCGTGCTGTGGCGGCATCCCTCATGCAAAATAGAGGAAGATGGGCACAGATGTTAGCTCAGGGCTAATCTTCCTCCCGCACTAAAAAAAATAGAAGAATGGACAGTACAATTAACAAGCTTGATCTACTGCACCCATTTAGAGAAAACATTCTTAAATATACATGGAACATTTTAAAAATTGGCTCTGGGGCCAGCCCCGTGGCTTAGCGGTTGGGTGCGTGCGCTCCGCTGCCGGCGGCCCGGGTTCGGATCCCGGGCGCGCACCGAGGCACCGCTTCTCCGGCCATGCTGAGGCCGCGTCCCACATACAGCAACTAGAGGGATGTGCAGCTATGACAGACGGCTATGTACTGGGGCTTTGGGGGAAAAATAAATAAATA